TCGCCCGGGTGGCCTGACCCCCCCCCCCCCCCCCCTCCTCCTCCCATGCTACCACTCCCGATGCAAATGGGTTCTTGGCTCTGGTGACCTGAACCACCACCACCTGCACCACCTCCAATGCAGATGGGCCCCTGACCCTGGTAGTCTGAACCACCTCCACCACCACCTCCTCCAGTGCAGATGGGTCCTTGGCTTTGGTGGCCTGAACTATTGCCACCACCTCCTCCTCCTCCTCCTGTGCTACCACCTCCAATGCAGATGGGCCCCTGACCCTGGTAGTCTGAACCACCTCCACCACCACCTCCTCCAGTGCAGATGGGTCCTTGGCTTTGGTGGCCTGAACTATTGCCACCACCTCCTCCTCCTCCTCCTGTGCTACCACCTCCAATGCAGATGGGCCCCTGGCCCTGATGTCCTGAACCACCTCCTCCTCCTCCTTCTCCTCCTCCTCCTCCTCCTCCTCCTCCTCCTCCTCCTCCTCCTCCTCCTCCTCCTCCTCCTCCTCCTCCTCCTCCTCCTCCTCCTCCTCCTCCTCCTCCTCCTCCTCCTCCTCCTCCTCCTCCTCCTCCTCCTCCTCCTCCTCCTCCTCCTCCTCCTCCTCCTCCTCCTCCTCCTCCTCCTCCTCCTCCTCCTCCTCCTCCTCCTCCTCCTCCTCCTCCTCCTCCTCCTCCTCCTCCTCCTCCTCCTCCTCCTCCTCCTCCTCCTCCTCCTCCTCCTCCTCCTCCTCCTCCTCCTCCTCCTCCTCCTCCTCCTCCTCCTCCTCCTCCTCCTCCTCCTCCTCCTCCTCCTCCTCCTCCTCCTCCTCCTCCTCCTCCTCCTCCTCCTCCTCCTCCTCCTCCTCCACCACCACCTCCACTGTAGATAGGTCCTTGGCTTTGGTAGCCTGAATTACCACCACCATCTCCTCCTCCTCCTATGCTACCACCTCCAATGCAGATGGGCCCTTGACCCTGATGGCCTGAACCTCCTCCTCCTCCTCCTCCTCCACCACCACCTCCACTGTAGATAGGTCCTTGGCTTTGGTAGCCTGAATTACCACCACCATCTCCTCCTCCTCTTATGCTACCACCTCCAATGCAGATGGGCCCTTGACCCTGATGGCCTGAACCTCCTCCTCCTCCTCCTTCTCCTCCTCCTCCTCCTCCAAAGGAAGACGATGTTATGTGGACTTGGTGGCCTGATCCGTCTCCACCACCATCTCCACTGCTGCTGATGGATCCTTGACTCTGGTGGCCTGAACCTCCTTCTCCAAAGGAGGAGGAGGATATGTGGGTCTGGTAGATAGCACCACCACCACTGCTTCCCCCTCCACTGTGGCAGGATGATCCTTGGATCTGGTAGCCTAGAGATCCTCCTTCCCCACTACTATGGCAAGATCCTCCTTCGCCACCCCCGTGGCATGATCCTCCTCTGTAAGCATTGCCATGGCATCCACCAGACTGCTCCGGGATCCCTTGGCTGTCACCCTTCTGCTGATGGGAGCCCATTGTCACAGGAGTCGGGGAGCCCTCCAAGAGAAAGAGAAACAGTCCTTATAGCAAACTCAGGGGGAGGAAAGCTTGTGTTACTTTGTCCCCTATCTCTTTCCAAAAGCAGGCTGATACATGAAAATACCTTTCTCTCCTTTCTGTCCCCTATCCCCCTCTGCACCTTGCTAATGCAAAAGGGTGGCCTCAGGAATATCTAGTTCTAAAACAGTTACTTGGAACAGCCTGGGAAGTTTTCAGCTCATTCCACAGCCTTTGATCTACTGTTCTATGGGGCTGGGCTCCTCTGTCCATACGTAACTGGTCCTTGTCCTAGGAGAGGTGCAATTATAATCATTCCTTAATCATTCTTTCTTGTAGCAAGTTGCCAGAATGGCATACCACTGGAAGAGGTAAACCCCCATATCTGAATGTGGGTTTGGAATTTCAAAAGGGTTGCGAGGCTTGGAGATAGGTATTGATATTCCATGTCATACAGGAGAAAGTAAGAACACTAGTCATCCTTTGTATAACAGTAACTTCATTGTACTTTAAAGGATAAATCCTTCATCCTCAGTTTCAAAAGGGCAGAGTCACTGTTTTTATTTCTTACTAAAAAAAAGAAGAAAGGGGAACAGCCAATGGAAAAGATAGCAGCAACGGAAGAACAAGCTGCACAAAACTTCACATCAGCAGGATTCTCTATTACACCATTTGTAGGGGCTCAATGGGTGGCTGTATCCAAGGCTGAGACCTGCGAAGATGCTGTGGAATTTGAGCATATCTTTGGCATTTAAGCCCTACCACAGCCTGCATCCTTCTGTGCTAGCAGTAGTAATTTACCTTCCTCTGGCAGGCAAGCGACAGCTCTACTAATGAAAAGGATGTTCAGGAGCAGTCTGAGGTCTCTAAATATGCCAGAGGAGAAGCTGGTTCCTCCAAGGAAAAAGGCCATCAGAAGAGTACCTTTTTAAATTTAGATGAAAGACTGAAAAATGGGAATCAAATTCCATTCTATTTCAGATCTTTTGTTTCCCACTCTTTGCTAGGTACTTGCAAAAATGCTTTCTTTTTCCTGTCCCTTTTATGATTTATATTCCAGAAATGCTTAGGATTTGTCCGTATAGAGCCGTGCCACGTGGTGTTGAACCCAGACATGTGCAGCCAAACAAAGGGGCTTCAAAGACCATGCTTTCTATGTCCCAGCTCTCCCTCTTTTCCATATAATTAAGTAATCTCCCACACTGAATCATTAGGAAAAAGGTTGACTGTAAAAGAGGAACAATTTTTGGACTACAAGACCCAGAGCCATATTTAATGTCAGCTTTTCCAGTTTAGCGTTCTCGGGCTAATCAGCGCGGTTAATTTTCATCAGTAGCATGAAATGCCTTACCGTGTCCCACGGCAGGAACCAGTGGAAAGAAGTCAAATCGAGTGAGGAAACCTAGTGTGTGAGAACTTTTATATAGTAGTATCTAGTCCTCCTCCTGGAAAGAAACAATGACTGACTTATTTACCAGCCAAACCCAGCCACAGCTACCCACTTATTGGCATAATCTCAGGCTTGTAATTTCTGATTGATATCTGTCTTCCACCACCTCTTTTGTTTTCAGCTATATAAAAGTTATTGGATAGCTCCACCTACTCCAAGTAGAGTGAAGAAATGGTGAAGAGCAGACATGCTCATGAATTTTCAGAAAAAAACAAGGGATGTTCACATCTCCCATCCAGAGGGGTTCAACCTTCCAGAAACAGGATATGTGAGAGGAAAAACAGGAATTATAGGCTTTGTAGACATAATCATTTATCTCTTGTTTTAGAAAGTGTTTCTGAACACTCAGAGGTGGCTCTGGCATGTTATTATTTTGTGTTGTAACTGGCAGATTGGTAGGAGTGTCTTACATGTTTCTAATGACGCCCACATTGTTGCCAGGGGCTGTAGGGACACAAAAGCAGCCATGAATCTCTGGTCCAATGAGTTTAAGCTGCTCAAAAGACAACACATGACTGTAGAGTCAGAGACTGAAGTGTTGCAAATCTGGGAGGCCCCAGATAATTTATGTACTTGGAGGATTTGACCAACAGAGGAATAGAGGAAAAAACCAAGCAGCCCAAGAAGCAGTAAATTGATCTTAATATAGACTTGCAGTAGTGTCAGAGCACCTGGGTTAGGACTGTGACTTTTTCTTTTGCCACAGGCTCTCTTCAAATCTCTCAGGACCACATGAGAATAGGAAAAGTCCCTCTTACTTAGAGAAGATCCTTTTTAGGCCTGTCTTGAGTGAATTTAGTATTTCAGAGAATTTGCAGGTTGCGTACAGACCAAGTTATTTTGTTGCCTTTATTCATGGATTAAGACATAAAAGGCGTTACAGCACCTCATTCTTTAACTGTAAGGACTGTAGGGGAATTCACGTTGGTAATACAATTTGCTCATTCTTTTCATGCCTTTGTTCTGCCAAACTGGAATTATTGCAAACAGCAGCAGCAAGTTCCTCCAATAAAACTCTCCACCTCCAGGCAAGCTTTTAAGTACCAGTGCCTGGAAGGATCTTTCAACTCAGTTATAGCTGACTGTAGCTTTCTTTATTATTTCAGAGCCATGCTTTGTGATGGAGAGGCACAGGCTGGGTCATCCATAGTCTCTGCTAACTTCCCCCCTTCCTAGGTTTGCCAATGTGCGTTTTCTGTCCTGGAGCATGCGAATTGCTCACCCTTAACTTTGCACTCCTGCTGACGCTGGATCAGCGTCACCTTCCAACATCTCTGAAGTCCCCCAGTACATGGCTGCCCTGCTGAGTGGCTTTCCTCCTGGGGCAGGGGGCATCACCACTGATGGCGGAAGATGCTCTCTTCAGCGCTGCACGATTACGTTAGCTCTCTGTTGAACACGCTCATTTGAAAAGGAATTCCTGGGACAGCTATGGCCTTTGCCTGTTAGAGGCCAGAAAGATTTCCATTGTTTATTAGTAAAACCTCTGCAAGTTTCTATCAGCTAGCATGAGTTTTCAAACGTTGGAAGAACACGTGATCTGGAAAGCCATATTCTGAATGAAA